GGCAGCAGCCCGGCGAGGTCGCCAGAGCCTCGTCGACTCGTGTTTTCGCCAGGCGCCGGGGATCATGACGACTGCATGGATTTTCTTTTTGCGGGGGAGGCTTTCAAGTTTGTTGGAAGGGAGGGGCATCATTTTCCGCAGAAGGGCAGTTCGAATCTTGTTAGAAGCGAGTCTGACCCAGGGGGCTGGCATGTTGTTTCACATCGCTGATGAGATAGCGTCTAAGTCGCACGCGTCGTGGTTGTTCTGGTAGTGTGAAAGTGGGTGACTGGAGCCAGGCCCGCTGGCCCATGAACGCCCTGAGCTTCAGAGAGCAGGCGCCGCTTTTTCGCTCTGAGTCGGATTGGTGGCAAAGGTCATTCTGTACATTGGGAGTACCGGTTGCTACTTAGATTTCTTTTCGCGGCGCGGGTTGGGAGATGTTCGAGTTAGGTCATTGCATTTCGACGGCAACGTGGGCACTTTTTTTGGGCGACGCGCGCGGCTGTCTTTGGGGCAGGTTTTTGTGTCTGCTAGAGCCCAAGGATCTGAAACCTTTTTGCGCACATGTTTGATTTCACGCAATGCCCACGCCAGGCGGTGGCTTGATGGGATTGCTGTCTGGCTACAGCGCCTCGTCGCGGAGTTTGCACGGGGCAGGAATGACTTGGTGCAAAGCAGTCATGGGACGGTCGATGTGTTGGCTGCAGTGGTGTTCACTCTGATCTCACGAGTGGGCGTTGTGGCATGATGTGTGTGTGTGTGTGTGTCTGTGTCTGTGTCTGTGTCTGTGTCTGTGTCTGTGTCTGTGTCTGTGTCTGTGTCTGTGTCTGTGTCTGTGTCTGTGTCTGTGTCTGTGTCTGTGTGTGTGTGTGTGGGCGTGCGCGTGCGCGTGCGCGCGCGCGCGCGCTGCGCGCGCAGCGGCGAGGGCGCGGGCGCGGCGCGGGCGCGGGCGCGGGCGGGGCGCGTGCGTGCGCGTGCGCGTGCGCGTGCGCGTGCGCGTGCGCGTGCGCGTGCGCGTGCGCGTGCGCGTGCGCGTGCGCGTGCGTGGGTGCGCGTGCGGCGTGGGCGTGGGCGTGGGCGTGGGCGTGCGTGTGCGTGTGCGTGTGCGTGTGGGTGTGGGTGTGGGTGTGGGTGTGTGTGTGTGTGTGTGTGTGTGTGTGTGTGTGTGTGTGTGTGTGTGTGTGTGTGTGTGTGTGTGTGTGTGTGTGTGTGTGTGTGTGTGTGTGTGTGTGTTTTCAACGAAGCTTGTTGCCGCTGCAGGCTCTGACGAGTCATAAGCCGCGCAGATGGTGTCACAAAAAATGCACTAGCCGATGCCAAATGGCATAAGTGACGAGCCCTCGACGAAAGGGGACGCAAGCGAGGCGCCGGCGAAAATCTGCCGCGAAAGAGCGATGGCTGCATTCTTTCTGGTTTTTAGAGGAACGTGTTACATTGGGTTTCCTGGACCTGTAGCGGCAGGTTGCACTGTGTTTTCCCGGACGGGTTGGGCTGAGTTTCTTGGCTTCCCCTTCTTTTTGGAGTGGATGTGCGGCCGTTTCTTGAGCGGAGCTGCCGTGGGCGACGCTAGGTAGACGCTTGCTGGTGAAGCCGCAGAGGTGCGCGAAATTTACCAGCGCAGGCGAGAGCTGTGCAGCTTCGCGTGGAGGTTCTAAGGAGACGGCTTTTGCACACCGTGTGTCCAACAGAAGCCAAGCCGAACAAACCCACGCCCAATCGGCTGGCATTCTCCTTTTCTTGGCCAAACTTAGCTTCGAGAGCAAAAACAGGTCTGTTAAATTTTGGCGGCTTGAGTTACTGAAACACGTGGCTTTACTTAGTTGGTCAATTTCTGCATGCGAGCTAGGGAGGAAGCAGGGTACTCGCGCAAACCAGCATCTAGCCCAGCTCTGGCGTTTTGTGTCTAGGCTGAAGGATAGCTTCGCCGGCAAGCTGGAAGTCACGCTGCGAGTTGTCAAATATCAAGTGCTTTGCAGGGAACACCCCGTGCCCCTCGGCAAGAACAATAGCGGGTGTTTCTCTTAACACAGACGTGACACGAATTCGTCTAACTAGTTTACACACATGCCCTCTTCCCAAGAGGTTGCTCCTTCCCCACGAGAATCGTGAGCTGGTTGGGCTGTGCAGTCAATACTCACCGGCTAGCATCTACAGACCACTTTTGCCCGCCACACGTGGCAAATACAGCAAACAGCCGCTGCTTGGCCTGCAGCAGGTCAAAAGATCGAGGTCCTGAGCGGGGCCGCATGTTTGATGTCCGCAGCTTGAAGCTTGTAGAGTGCGTTAATTGAGTTTTTGGCGACTCAACTCGGCGTTCCCTGAAGCGTCTGGAATCCGATTGAGCTAGAACTAGTGTTCTTGTGGGTTCATGTGACGAGGGATTTGAAACGGGAGCCTTTCAGAATTATTTCATGCCACAAAATTTAATCCAAATTGCGTCCACCAAACATGACCATGTGAACGAGTTGAAGGGCCCTTTCCACGTATTCTCTTTTCTTTTAAAAGTCCTACACTGCCAGATCTGGCGACGCCGGAGCGATCGGCCCAAGGCAGGGGCTGAAACGCAGGGCGAGATGAAGTTTCCCCGAGTCAGACTCCTTCGGAAACTGGACACCGATTATCCCGAAAGCGTGTGTGCGAAAGGTGATGCAATAATGTTGGAATATGTCTACGATGTTATATATATATATATCTCTCTCTCTCTTTATAGTTTTCTCTTTTTCTCTTTTTCTCTTTTTCTTTTTTCTCTTTGTTTCTGTTTCTCTTCCTTTTTTTTGTTAATCTCTCTCTCTCTCTCTCCCTCTCCCTCTCTCTCTCTCTTTGTCTTTTTCTCTTTTTCTCTTTTTCTCTTTTTCTCTTTTTCTCTTTTTCCCCTTTTTCTCTTTTTCTCTTTTTCTCTTTTTCTCTTTGTCTCTTTTTCTCTCTCTCTCTCCCTCTCTCCCTCTCTCCCTCTCTCTCCCTCTCTCCCTCTCTCCCTCTCTCCCTCGCTCCCTCTCTCCCTTTCTCCCTCTCCCCCCTGCCCCTCTCTCCCTCTCTCCCTCTCTCCCTCTCTCCCTCTCCCTCTCCCTCTCCCTCTCTCCCCCTCCCCTCGCTCCCTCCCTCCCTCCCTCCCTCCCTCTCCCTCCCTCCCTCCCTCTCCCTCCCTCCCTCTCTCTTTTTTTTGTAAGGTGGAGCTGCGGCCGCCCGCGTACTACTCTTCTATCTAAAGATTGCGATCGTCAGACCAGAGCGTACTTTGCATGCTACTTGTCTACTTAAGACTTGCCATTCTCAAGCCGAAACCGAAGGTGCGGGAGCGAGCTTCGCGTACTACTTTTGTACTTAAGTTGAACCAAAACCACAGCGAGAGCGACCCAACACGCACGATCCCCGCAGAGGGTTCATCGGCCAGCGTGCGAATTCGCACGGCGCCACAGCGAGAACGATCCGACACGCACGATCCCCGCAGAGGGTTCGTCGGCGACGTAGAAAGTTCGTGCGGCGCGACAGCGAGAGCGCTCCGACACGCACGACGATCCCGGCACAGGGTTAGTCGGCGAGCGTGCGTGCAAATTCGCACGGCGCCGCAGCGAGAGCGATCCGACACGCACGATCCCCGCAGAGGGTTCGTCGACGACGTAGAAAGTTCGCGCGGCGCGCGAGCGCTCCGACACGCACGATCCCCGCGCACCCCAGCGCCCGCCAGACCTGCCCCTGGCTAAGAAAGAAGTTAGAAGTAAAGGCTGCGAGCTTCGGCTGGGTAAGCTAGGCTGTGTAAGTCAGGCTGCGTCAGTCAGGCTGCGTAAGTCAGGCTTCGTAACTCAGACTGCGTAAGTCAGACTGCGTAAGTCAGGCTAGTACAAGTCAGGCTGCGTAAGTCAGGCTGCGTAAGTCAGGCTGCGTAAGTCAGGCTACGTAAGTCAGGCTGCGTGAGTCAGGCTGCGTAAGTCAGGGGTCAGGCTGCGTAAGTCAGCTTGAGTAAGTCCCGCTGCGTAAGCTAGGCTGCGTAAGTCAGGCTGTGTAGTCGGCAACCGTTTTGTCCAAAGAACCCTTCGCGATGCTTTCGGAGAAAAAAAACATATGTGAGCGGGAGGCATCAATCCCAAAAGGTGCTTAACATCTTTTTCGGCCAGTTCAGAAACATCATTGCTTCAGTGTTTGGATCCACTTTCGTGCCCCAGGTGGTCTACAGTGCGCAGTGTTTCAGCTAGCCTTCCACAGTCCGAGGGTTCGAGCGAGTCGCGCAGGAATGAGCCAGAAGAGAATTATATGGGGGAGGTACATTTTGGTCACTTTTCAGGGGCGCCGATGGGAGCCACCCGTGTTTTTTTGGGACACAGGCAAAGGATGCAACGCATGGACGTCATTGACAGCCTCGTGCTTTCGCGAGGTGGACTTGCAGAATTGCGGATGCCAGGCATGTTCTTGCTGGCTTTTGTGCTGTTCGAAGGAAAATGTTTGTGCGCCTTGCAGCACCTTGCAAAACATACAGGGCGGCCCGCCAGGTTTGGGTGTCTGCTCTTGCTTGCAAATGCTAATTTATAGCGCCAGCACACTCCATTGTGTTGTGTTCCTGCAGAAGTCTTGCCCAAGCCTTTGCTTTCCTTCATTCATATCCTAATTCTCTGTCTTGCGCTGGAGCCGCGCTCTAGGTTTACTAACTACTTACTTAGCTCTTTTCAGCGCGGTCTATTGCGAGACCGCAATGGTGTTTTTCTGCGGCCCCTTTGAGTGGCTTCTGTACACTGGACACGTTCCGCGATTGATGTCACGCTTGCTTAGCCATGACTCTGACCCCGTCATGGTGTGTCAAACGCTGCCTACATCTATCACGCCCCTTTTGAGTCAGACCGTTATAGTCTCGAAGCTGCGTCGCATGACTATCGCGGCCATTCGCCCTACACCAACGAACGAAAGCAGACTACTGGCAGACTGTTGTCCCGAGAATCGCCCCAACGCCGCGACAGTTGTGAGCCATTTTTTTAGCATGGCTTGTGCCGAAATCATCGCAGCAGCTTGGCTCGTTCTTGCTCATGAAGGGTGTGACGACGAATGCGAAGCTGCAGCGGTACTTGCGAGCAGTGCGATCGCAGCGATCTGAGCAGGCAAAGCGACCGGAGCAGCCGGAGCAAGCAGAGCGATCAGAGCACGTTGTTCGGCATGCAGGGGCAACTCTCGAGAAGAAACTCCAGATTCTGACCAGACTGAGCCGCCTGCACGCAAGAGTACCGCCCGAGCAGGTGTGCGCGACTGTGGCCGCAGTACCTGGCACAAGGAAGCGCCGGCGGGTACGGCGGATGTTACAGTCCCTCGACCAGGGTCAGGGTGCAGCTCCGCCGTCCTGCCAGAGCGCAACTCTGCGGGACTGCAAGACCTTTGCGGGCCTTGCGGCACTTCGGGAGGCGGGGGCGGTGTGCTTCTCTTTGCTTGGATGTTGTGGCTTGCGGGGGTAATGGGGATGTTGCAACAGCTTAAAGTGGCTTCAAACTTTTCTGCAAATTTGACTAGCAACTTGCCAAGAACTGACTGTTTGTTATATATCACTTGGGTCTTGCCAACATTATATGCGGCTTCTGGGGACAGTGGAGGGCGCCTCACTTTGGGAAGGAGCTTGCCGCACGTTGGCTGGCGCGCAGGTACGGGCGGGCGTTTTGACGGTGGAGACGGACACTCCCTTAGCAAACTACTGCAAGCCGCGCGTGGCGGAAGGTGGAGTGGAATGGATGGGCTTGTGTGTGCCAGCGGTGTACTCCGCCAGGGCGACGTGTCAGAAATGCCCCGGCATCTTGCGGCCGTACGAGGTGAGACGGCCAGTGGCTGTGTTCGATGCCGGCGAAGTGCATGTGGTGTTGCATGGTAGAAAGAGATGCAGAGACTGCGCCGCAACCGTGGACTGCACACATCCCGACATCGTAGGACACTTTTGCGCCACAGGTGTTCATTTGGTGTGCACAGCTGGTCGGGGGAAGAAGGGGGTGCTGCACACGCCTGCGTTTGCCTTGAACTTGTATGCCTGGCTTCGGCAAGGGAAGTCGTACGCGGCAGCTCGACGAGCGTACTGCCACAGTTTGTTCTTGCAGGCTACGCGGCTGGGTTGGCCTCCTCTGGTTTTGCAGTATGTCTTGTCGTTTGTTCCTAATACTGCCGTTTTGAAGGCAGTGCTGCTGACAGTGCACAGAGCCGTAGTGCAGCCGCAGGTGGTTCGAGCCAGGGCAGAGATTGCAAAGCGTACCCGGATTTGGAAAATTGACTGCGGACGCAAAGCTGCTGTTCGCATCTTTGACACACTGGAGCTTCAAGAGCACACCGGCGTTTTGGTTTGCTTGAACGAAGAAGGGTTTTGGTGCTTCCCTCCTCGTCGAGTTGTGTCCGAGGGTCGGCAAGCGTGGGAGACGGTGGTGCGAGCAGAGCTGGAGCAGCACAAACGAGACAACGCGGAGTTGCAGGAGCGCGCGTGCGCGTTGACTTGCTTTTTGCGCCTCAGCGTAAACCACAATCATGTTGAAACCATTGTTGGCTCTTTTTTGGCTTGATGGTATCCGGCCTTATTCGGCGTGCTGCCAAGAGGACTACTCTATCTGGGGGTGGCTACGATTGCAAGGGGGGGTGTTATAGGAGGGGACCTTGACGGGTGTCCGTTTCACGGGCCCCAAAGACCGTTGCCGCGATCTTTTTGCACAGGCGGCTTTTTCTGTTTTGTTCTTGAGACAATGAAGTGTACCGACAATGCGGCCTGTAGGATGAGGGTTGCCTTCTTGCCATCATCACTGATGATTACGAGCACCATCGAAACATCAATGCCGAGCTGATGTTCTCGGTGTACAAGGATAAATTGCTGGGTGGCCAGGCAGGGTCAGCTGCGGATCTCGAGGAGCGCGCTTTGGGCAATCAGCCTGGAGGCTTTCTGTCTGCGCAGGACGTGTCGCACAAGACGTTTGAGTTGCAGCGAGTGCTGCCGTTTGGATCGTCCTCTGCTGGCAGATTCAGAGTTGCTTTTGCGGCAGCGCAGGCACGGTGGTCGGCGCCGTTTCTTGGCTAGTGCCACTTTAGCTTTCACTGCGCTGCCGTTTTTTATCCAGGGGCTTTGTGTGTTAGTTGCGCAAAGTGTTGTTCTAGCAGCCTAGGTCCAGAACATTTCCCAAACGCAAAGCGTGGCACGGTCAGTCTTGCTCTGTGGACACGTTGAGAGCGGCAGTGGTAGATGCTTGGAGGCAGGGTTGGGGAAACTTTATATAGATCTTCGTGGCTCTTTAAGAAACAAGCCCAGTCGGAGGAACGTGTAGACATAGTGGGCTGTCCCAAGCTTGCCCGGAAGGCATCCGCCGGCAGAGGAAGGGAGGAAATTGAGAGCTTTCATTTCCAGGCCAGATGTTTTGTCACATCGTCTCTGGCGCACGGCCTTTGGAGCACTACCACCGTGGACTGAGGTAGAGCGGCTCGCCCATTTGGTCAAAGCGCAGCTCAGTGACTCAGCGCTACCATGGCAGTACAGGGACGCGGCCGACTACGTGAGAGAGATTGAGGCGATCACTCATTGGTTTGACACAGTGGTGCCCAGCAAAAAGAAACAGCGCGGGCTGGTGCGCGACCACGAAGTCGAGGACAAGAGCGCGGCGCAGCCTGTGGTGTCTGAGGCCGTCCGTGACCTTTTGCGAAGATGTCAGCGATCGGTGTACTTGTCAGGCTGTGAGAATTGGAGCGCGATCGCACGGTGGCTGCGAGCTGCTGGCGTGGAGCCGGCGTCGGGCACCACAGACGTGGAAGTTGCAAACTCAGAGGTCATTTCCGAGCTGCGGGGAGGCCTCATCAGCAGACTGCCCCTCGGCTTGCATGTAGTGACTGGGTTTTGAATGCAGGTGTGAACTGTGCGTAGATCTGGCTCTCTGTAAGCGACGAGCTCAGATGAGGGTCGTCCTAAAACCCCAGTCGGAAGGATTGAATTATCGCTGAACGGAGAGAAGTAAAAGTTGCGAAGTGCTGCGCGCGCACAAGGAGCGCGCCAGCACGGCCCAAGGGACACGCAAGGTTACAGTTTTGAAGTTGTCAGATACTGATGTTGCCTAGCTTCATGAAAAGATGTGATATCTTTTTACTGTACTTGTACTTTTCTAATGTTGCTTGAGTCATGTGTAGGCCACAGGCTTGTTTGCAAAGGTGTGGGGTTTCTTCAGTCGGCCGCCAAACGAAGCCAAAGCTGCCGCGGTCACGACTTCAACGACGAGCGACTGACACGACAAAATCCGCGCAAGCCGCGCGCCAGCCGCGCGCTAGTTGCGCGCAAACACGAGAAGCCCCCAGCAAGACACTTAGCCATTTGCTGTCTCGGTTGTTCTTAGCGGCGGGGTTCAAGCAATGGATAGGCAGCCGCAACGTGCACTTTCCTTCATTCAGGCAATCCACACGAAAACTTCACAAACCCAGGTCAATGAAACCTAGTTTCTGCGTCGCTGTGCGCGCGCAAGTCCGCGCAAGTGCCGTGCAAGTGCGGCCCAAGGGTGTAATCTCGGACAAGGAATATAGGACAACCCCCATGTCAGACAAATTTGCAGCTTGTCGGAGACGCTGTTGGCTTGAGCTGGTTGATATTTACGTCGGGAGGACGCATCGTCGGAGAGGGGGGGGGGGGCTACGCTTTCCCGTTAACCTCAAGTTCATGATCCATGGAGCATCTCGTGCGGTTCTCTAAGTTAGCACTTAGGTCGCCCGAAACTTTTGAGCTGCACGCGGACTTGATGTTCTTGCGGGCGGCTGCCAGAAGAAGCAAGGAAGGGCACCACATGCAGACGCACAGCGTATGGAGCATTTTTTTGGTGGGCGGGAGTAGGGTGGGAGAGTCAGAGCGTGTTCCATTGCATGCTTTGCACTGCGGTGCCGGGTTTTCCGAGGTGGGCTCACGGCTCGCGCCTGCTGCAGGAAGATGTTGACACATATGTGAGCTTGTTGACGCACGGCCGAGATCCTGCAGCTGCCGCGCTGGTTTGGCAGGAGCTTTTGAACCGACACGGTGCGAATGGGCGTTCAAAGCGCCGCCGTGTTGAGGGGAAGCAGGTGCCCCCAAGGACATACCGCAGCAAGCGGAAGTATAAGGTTAGACGGGCTGGCAGACGTGGGGCAGAGCCCCGAGCTCTGCATTCGGAAATGCAACGCGTGGCGCTTCCTAGAAGCGCCTGATTTGCTTCCTTGTGTTCATGGCAGATTGAAGAAACGGCTCGCCCGTGCCCGCTGTCTGCTGCAGCACACATCTCAGTTGCATGTTTTTGGCAGTGAGGGGGATTCGGTCAGTTGGAATTGCACTCTCCGTGCAGCGGCCACGAGTACCTCATCCCCCAATGGCGTTGGTGGCAGGGGGTGGGGGAAGTATTCGGGTGCGGAGGTGCTTGTCAGTTGGAATTGCCACTCTCCGTACAGCGGCCACGGCTTGGCCTGTCTGCCATCGGCCAACGCCAGTTGCACGTGCGCCGGCTGCAGCCGGATTGGAAGTTGCTGCAGGCTTTGCAGTTTCCGTGAGGGGTTGGGAGCAATTCGCGCATGGAGACTGGCGGAAAACTTCGTTGGTCCAGGGTCGTAGTTGCACGTCCTCTTGTTTGTTTAATCGGATTTCGCCGAACTGACATTTGAGTTTGAGATGTCGCTGTCCACATAACGGCCGCAGGACCTTTTCATTTGTTTGTGGGTGGAGGTGCGACTTTGTTTTGGTTGGGCTTGGAGTTGATACGTCCTAGTCGTCTGCCATCTGTTGACGACCACGGGTAATCCGTCCTCCCAACTGTTTTTTTTTGGGGATGAAGGCTGGCCATCTTGATTTTGCCGTCTGCCATCAGGCTTTGGCCAAATTGCCATTGTTTAGTTTTTGATGTCACTGTCCACGAAATCCGCAGAAGACCTTTTCATTAGTTTATAAATACCACCGACGCCTGCGTCCAAAGCCTCACCATCTCCGCCTTGCCGATTGGGCTGCCGAAGTATGGAACTGCCAACGACCACGGTAACCCATCCTCCCAATTGGTTTTGGGAGGATGTTGGCCATCATTTTGCAGGTCAGTTGGACGTACGCTAACTGCAGCCGGATCGGAAGTTGCTGCTGGCTTTGCAGTGTAGGGGTTGGGAGCAGTTCGCGCATGGAGGCTGCCGAAACACTTCGCTGGCCGAGGGTTGTAGTTACATGTTTTGTTAACGCTCGGTGGAGGTGAGGCTTCGCACGCGGAAGATGTACTATACTACACGTGCCGAGAGGCGGAGGTAGGCGAGTTGCCCAAGCATAGAATTGCCACGTCCTGTGAGCCCGTCCCCGGAAGTGAGGGGCTGGCCAGCATTTTTTTGTTGTTTGCCATCACGCGGGACAGGCGATCTGAAGTTGCTGCAAGCGCTTGCGATATGGGGAGGCAGCCAGGCGACACTTCAT